AATAGGATTACTCGCTCTGCCAAGTGTTAACCAACACAGCTTACAGCTGGTGGGGAAAGGCACAGAGCTTGGAGCATCCCACATACTAAGGTGCACATCTAAATTCAGCTGAAGTTCTGGGAACAACTGAATGCCCAAGTGGGATATTATCAAGGTGCAAACCTGCTAAGAATCCAAAGTCCCTCAGGCAAAGAATTTGGTTATGTGCTATACCTCTTACAGTCCCAACACAAACATTTGTATGTCTTAAAGACAGAAGTTTGGAGTTCTATCTAATCTGATCAGCAGCAGAGGTGGTGTCAAGTAAACCTGTTACAGCCCATCCACCGGGACCCAGCTGCTCTTCACCAGGAGCTGTCCCCAGCAGCTGGTGGAGCACATGGAGCCTGTTTCTGGCTGATCACCACGCTCCCAGGGACAGCATGGCCAAGGCACGGGAATCAGGCATTCTCCAAAGCAACTAGTGACAGGACAAGGGGAAACAGCTTCAAGTTTGCAGGGCACTCTCCAGTTGGAGATTATGGAAAATTTCTTCACTGAAGGAAGAGCTAAACATTGAAATGGGCTACCCTAGGAAATGGAGCCACTATCCGTGGAAAACATGAGTACAGACACGGCATGTCACAGTGCGGCTTAGCAGGCATAGCGGCACTCGGTGCCGAAGGCGGAACTTGCAGGTCTTTCCCAAGTTTATCGGCTGTGCGAAGGCCGCGCACGCTGCCGCGGGAGCGGCGCCCACCGCAGCTGCGGTCCCGCGGCTCGGGGGGCAGGCACCGCGCAGCATTCCGGCCTCCCGCGCACCGGGAACGCGCCCTCGCCGCCCCGCGATGGGCCCGCCCCGGCTGGCTGCGGTGCCCGGGCGCGGCTCCGGTGCCAGCGGGCGCTGACGTCCCCGCACAGCTGCGGGCCGCGCCGTGCCGGGAGGGCGGTTAATGATTAACCGCGGCCGGGCCACAGACCAGCCCCAAAACAGCCCCAGCGCGGCTGACGCAACCGGGACCAGGGCACCCCTCGGGGCAGCCACCGGTCCCGGAGCCCCGCGAGAGCCCCACGGCAGCTGCCGCCGCTGTCCCGCGGGGAGCCTGCCAGCACAGCCAGCCCCCAGCGCCCCAGCCAGCCCCCCAGCCAGCCAGCCGGGCTGCGCGCAGGGACCCGCCCGGCACGGCTGAGGGAACAGCGGGCTGCTCACTCACCGGCGCGTCGGGCAGGAGCCGGCGCAGCTCGGTCTTGAGGCGGCGCACGGTCCAGGCAGGCTGGGCACTGAGGCGGAGGTCGCGGTGCCGCTGCGCGGGGCTCCGGACCAGCAGCGACAGCGGCTGCTCCATGGTGGGCGCCAGGCGGGCGGGGATTGCAAAACCTCCCCGGCGAGAGCTTTATAGGGGCCCGCCCCGCCGCAGGGCCGCGGTGGCTGCGGCTCATTGGCCGCAATGAGGGCAGGGGCGGGGGCTGCCACGTGGGCCAATGGGACGGAGCCTCGCTCGCAGCGCCGTGAGGAAACGGAGGCGCTGATTGGGTGGTGCCGGGTGAGGGGCGGGGCTATGCGGTCACCACGGCGACCGTGACCCGCCCCGCCCGGGTCCTGAGGGGCGGAGGCCATGGTGGGCCTGGTGTCTGTGTCCTGCGTCCCTCCGTCCCTCCGTCCCTCCTTCCCTTCCTCCACCATATCATCCCCGGCACCAACGCCGCTCTTAGCGATCCCTTGCTTCGCCTTCCCTCTCCCCTGGCCCGCCGGAGCAGCACAGCTCTGTGGAGCCCCGCACGTGCTGCATGCGCAGCCTGATCCGGGTGAAACATCCCCTTTTTCCCTATGGATATTGTACCCGACCTGTGTAGCTACCTCAGCAGGTTTGCTGCGGGCTTTGTGGGTACAGCACAAACCGTACTTCTGGGTGGAGCCAAAAGAAGTGTTCAGAGATACTGGGGAAAGTTAATAATTCATGACATTTTTACTAATTAAAAAAAAAAAAAAAAAAAAAAAAGCCATAAAAATGTGGACCAGCAGCTTCCGAGCGCTCCCCCTCTTGCCCATCTTCCCGTGAGATGCGATCCAGCCCGCGAAAAGCCCGTGGTAATGATCCTGATGCACCAGGAGGGGGTTTTCGCGTCCTTCCAAACAAAGCCGTAGGAACGTGAGGCGCCGGAGTTATCTCTCCGCACCAGGTATTTATTTACTCTGCGTGTTTCAGGAGCTGCTCGGTATTCCTTGGCAGCCAGACCTGTTGCCCAAAGGCACGGATGAGTCTGCAGCCAAGACTAGGTTTTGCAACCAGGAAAGGCACTCTGCCGCGGGGATGCATCGCCCCGCGGCTCCCGGGAAGAGCCGAGCCCAAGGGCAGCGCTGCCGTGGAGCCGACAACGCAAAATCACGAAGAAATGAGCTGAGCCTGGGTCTGGTCGGGTGAAGCCTCCACAGCGGCCGGGGTACGTCCTTGTGAGGGTGGAGAGTTCGTCGGAGCCCATTCCTCTCTCGCACCCACATCCCACAGCGAGCGCTGGGGCTGCACTCCTGCGGCTCTGTCCTTGCTGTCCCTGGGAGGGCTCACTGCCCAGGTGGGCTTTGCCTCCCCAGCTTCTGCTCTGAGTCCCTCCAGCCCGAGGAGACGCCGCCAGAGCTATTTGCTGCTCTTGCTCCATCAGCACAGATCGTGATCCCCATCTCTCGGCTCCTGCTGGCAGTGGGGAAAGACAAACGCAGTGTCCAGGGCCACCCTTGCCATTGCCAAAGTCAAGGTGACTGCTGCTCGCTTGGTTGCAGCCTTTGTTCAGAGCACCAGGCGAGTTCCCATGGGTGGCAGGGACAGGGTGAGGCCGTGCAGGTGTTGGAGTGGAACCAGGATCAGGGACTCTGTGTGTTTTATCTGGAACTGCCTGTGCTGTTGCTGGCCCCTGGACCAGCTGCGCAGCTGTAGCCACAGCGCCGATCCTGCCTCGACCTCCTGTGCTTCTCCTTCATCACAGACAAGCAGGACAGAGCTCAACTGAGCTGCTTTCTGCTCATTCCGTGTCTGAGCCATTGCTGGGAAAAATGCCTGCTCACGGGACAAGCTTACCTGAATCCAGCACTGACCTGGCTTGGAGCAGGGGCTGGAGGAACAACCTCCTGAGGCACATGAGTGCTAAACCTCAGCAGCCCCCCTCCATGCCGGGGGTGCTGGAGCCCCCAGAGAGCCAGGCCCTCGCTGCCCTCACCCACTGCAGCCAAGAACTGGTGGATCTGGAGTCAGTGGACACATCTGAACATCAGGTAGCACATGCTCCAGTTCCAGAGGCTGATTCAGAGCTCCTGGGACTGAGGAAAAACAAACGTCCTGATACTGTCTGCTTAACTTATCTCACTCTGTGGCAGCAGATAAGGGGCCACAGCACAAACCAGAAGGTGTGACCAGCACATCACCCCACTGTCCTGCTGAACAATTAACTCCAATTTACCAAAACTGGAGATGAAGGGCTGCAAGCTGCTTTTGTCGCCTGCGTAAATATTAACCATGGAGTAAATCAGGATTATCTCTCTGAACTCAACACAATTACTCTGTTTAAAAAAAACCAAACTAAACTGGGGGGGCTGAGTGGGTATTGCTGATGAGTTTACAGCTCTGTTTGTGGTCAGGCTGGTTTTCATGGCGTGGCAATCTCTTAGCACAGCGGGAGGAGAATTTGCCAGCACATGAGGAGATGCCCCACGGTCTCGCAGCCTGGTGTGCTCCTTTGCTCACCCAGGCACAGTGACACAAGGGACAAGCCTGCCAGGAGCCACAGAGCAGCTAACACCGACCTGGTGCTGGAGGAATGCCGGGGTGTGATGCAATTTTGTCCTGACCAGATGTTGCTCCCTGGGCCAGGACAGGGCAAGGATCAAAGGGCAGCAGAATCCAGACAAGCCCAGCTGATTCTCTGGGCTTGGTTCGATGTGTTTATTCTGTCGGAAGCACTGTGCTCGTTGGGTGTCTGGCTTTAAAAACTGCTTCATGGTGCTGCAGTCATGGCCCCTTTGGCTCCAAAATTCCTCAGAGTCAGTGAGCAAGAGTCTGGTTTTGTTCAGGCTCTGGGGCTGGTGACCCTGGTGCTGGCAGGAGGGAGCTCACAGTGTGCTCTGGCATCACTGGCAGAGCTGCACTGCAGTGGGGTCTGCAGGGAAGGGCTTCTCTGGCTGTCCCTGAGTGTTTCTGTGCCTGAGCAGAGCCAGTTCTGCCAGGCACATCCCACAGGCATCACCTGTGGGCACAGCCTGGCAGCACCAAGGAGATGTGCTCTGGCTGCACATCCTGGCAGCCTGGTGCTGGGACGGGCGCGGCGAGGCTTTGCCACACACCCGGTGAACTTGGTGTTCGCTCAGCTGTTCCACTGCTCAGTAAAGCAAATCATCCCCAAAACAATGAACCTTCCCTGGCCCACCCTGCTCTGGGGCAGCATGAAATTTCCCTGCCAGACAAAGGAGAAAAGCCAGAGCGAACCAGGAGGCAGGGAATGAGGGACACAGCTGGAATACATCCCCTGCTACCAGGGTTGCCTCTGCCAAAGGCCACCACACCGGTGGCACGGGAAGCCGCCTGCCAGCACGGGGAAATGCAGGGATATTCCCGGGCGGGGCCGAGGCTTCCACCGGCGACACTCGCGGGGATTCCGTGCGGATGCCGGCCGCGTGCCGGAGCTCGGTGTCCCCAGACACCGAGCTGGGTTTAATGTCGCTAATGAGGTTCCTGACAGCGATGGGATGCCCGAGGTTACCGGCGCGGTGCCCGGTGCCGTCCCGGCGCGGCGGCGGCCCGACGGGGAGCGGAGCCGTGCCCGGATAGACGGGGCCGACGTGGAGGGGACTGGGATGGAGACGGGCTTGGGGACGGGGACAGGGATGAGGATGGGGGTCCTGCCGCCCTCCCGTCCCCACCCCCGTTTCCACGGCGACGTTGTCAGCAGCCGCCCGGCCCCGCCCCGCGCCCCGCCTGGGCCAATGGCGCGGCGGCGCCCGGCCTGCCCGCCGGTGACGTCATGGCCGGTGAAAATCCCCCGTGGCCGCGGGAGCGGCGGTGGCGGCGCGGCCCCGCGGCCCGGCCCGGCCCGCACCATGGCCAAGCACCACCGCACGCCGGCGCGCTCCGCCGAGCCCGTCATCGAGGTCAAGAGCAAGGTAAGCGCCCGCCGGGGACGGGGCCGGTGATGCCGATGCCGATGCCCGTGCCGGTTCCGCCGGGTCACGACCGAGCGCGTCGCCCCCGCGTCGGGCAGCACACGTGGGGTGGCTCCGCGCACCAGGGAGCGGCGCGGGAGCCAGGCCGTGCGGGCTCTCCGCTCCCTGCGCTGCGGCGGCGCTGCCCGGAGCCTCCCCGAGCGCAGCCCGGCCCGGCGGCCGCGGCGTCCCGCCACCGTGGGCTCTGCCGGGCCGCGGGCTCGCTCGGCGCGGCCGTGGGAACGCGGCGGCGGAGCGCTCGCCAGATGCGCAGGGGCGCCGGTGCGCCGTTCCGGCAGCCCCCGTGTGCGGGGTGGCCCCGCCGGTGCGGGTGTGCGGGGTGTGCGGTCACCCCGGGGACACACCTCGCCCAGATGTGCACTCACCCAGATGTGCGTGCTGGCCAAGGCATGCTCGTCCCCGGCTATGCCATCACCCAGATGTGCGCCCCCAGCAAGGGACGAGCCCCTGTCGCGCCTCCAGATGTGCACACCTGCATGACTGTGCGCTAGCCCAGTTGTGGTCTCCCGCAGACGTGTCTGCTCATCCAGATATGTGCTCACCTGGCACACCCTTGCCCAGATGTGTGCGGTCACCCAGATATGCACCACTGTCCACCTGTGCCCATCCACCCACCCCTGTGCTCGCCCAGATGCGTGCACTCCCTTTCTGCACCCTTATCCAGCTGTGCGCTCGCCCAGCTGTGCCACTGCCTGCTCGGGACCCCCGGCAGGGTGCAGGGTGCCCTCCTTCCCAGGACGTGGTGGCCACCGCCTGCCCCGACAGCTGGGGTGTGACCCCCGCGGGCAGCGCGATCCTCGCAGCGCTCCTCAGCCTGTTCTTAATTGGCTTCCCGTTCGTCGTGACGGAAGGAGGCATTAATTAGCGCTGTTGCTCACCAGGTGCTACGGCAGCGCCCGTGTCGCAGGGAAGGGCCTCCCGGCAGCACGGAGTCTGCCACGGCTGGTGGTACGGCCAGAGGGTCCTTCCTCTGCCGCCTGGCCATCTTTTTGCCCCATCACTTCAGTGTTTGGGCAGAAAAACGGCTTCCCTCTTTACTTTGTTTTTGGGACGGGCTCCTCCTGACTGGCTCTGCCTGCCCTGGGGCAGCTCTGTGTGGTCCCCTGTCTGCATCAGTCCTGCAGACCGGGGCCAGTCCTGCCCAGAGTCACCCTCTTCCTCCTCTTCCTCATCCTCCTCTGCAGTTTGATGCTGAATTTCGCCGCTTTGCCATGAAGCGCTCTGGCGCCGGCAGCTTCCAGGACTTCTACCAGCTGCTGCAGACAGTGCACCAGATCCCGCGGGTGGACGTGCTCCTGGGCTACACAGACATCCACGGCGACCTCCTGCCCATCAACAACGACGACAACTACCACAAAGCCCTGTCCTCGGCCAACCCCCTCCTCAGGGTCATCATCCAGAAGAAGGGTAAGCGCGGCACTGGACGTGTCCTCCTGCCAAGAGAGATGATCCACAACCCGCAGTGCTGCTGGTTCCACCTTTGGACTGTGCCAGCAGGGCCTGGCTGGTCACATACCCTCCAGCCACTGCTTTGGTGGATGGATGTGGAGATGGTGGCACTGGGAGTCTGCCAGAACCCTGCCAGGGCTGTGGCAACCACACAGGCTCTCCCTGGCAGCTGAGGGCACCTGCCTCAGCCCAGCCCCATGCGACTGGTGAGCAAAGGCAGATCCTTGCAATTCACCCCTTTGAAGTCGTGTTTTGCAGCCAAGCTTGCATGGGCTCCCAGATAACACCCATGTTAGTCCCGTGAGCACTGTGCCAGCAGCCCCATCCAGCTTCCTGCCCTGAGGAGGCAACAGCCATCATTTTGGTAGAGCTCTTGGGGTGCCAGGTGCTGCTGGATTTCTGATGTTGAGAAGGGGCTTGGTGCCTCCCTGTCAGACCAGGGGCTTGCCCTTACCTTAGTGGCATATTCCCAAGGATCCACTTCTTTGACCAGGAACACCTGATAGCATCCTGATAGCAGCATCCTGCCTCCAAGTGACAAACACACAGAGTATTTCTCCTGTTTGCAGGGAAAACAAGCCCATCCCCTTCCATTCAGTTTAGTAGCACCAAGGTTTTCTCTTTCATAGCACCATCAGTCAGCAGTTCACAGAGCCAGAGCCTGACCCAGAGCCACAGGGTCAGCACAGCATCCAGAGTGAGTCTGTGTTTCCAGCTCGTGTTAGTGGTATGAAGTCTCTGGGCAAGAGGTGATGCTGGTGGCCAGCTCTGGCTGCGGTGTCAGTTTTCCTGGGCTTTTGCATCAGGGTGGTGTGGGATGCCCTGGACATGTGTTTCCCCTGTGGCCACATGGTGTGGGGGCTGGCAGCAGTGATCCAGGCTGCTGGAGCTCGTGGTGCACTCAGGAGCTGTCGCTGCCAGCTCTGAACTATCCCCTGTTCCTGGCCCAATGCTTGGACCCAGGCTGTGACATGGAGAGCCAGTGCAGGGGTGAATGTGCCAAGGCTGCAGTGGGACCATCACTCCTGCTCCCAAGAGCCATCCTGTGGGCTGCTGTAAAAGCCTGTGAGGGCCCACGGCTGACTGTGCCAAGACAGCACAGTGTGGAGAGGGAGCCTGCAGAGCCTGGCTCCATGGGCAGCATGATAAGGAAGGCGAGCAGGCAGCACCAGGGAGCCCCAGCACCCAGCTGTGCCTGCAGGAGAGGGGCCGCAGGGCGGGAAGCGCCACAGGGAGGTGAGCAGAGAGGCCAGGAGCAAGTCCTGGGTGAATCACAGCTAATTTAAAATGGATCCAGGTCATCCCGAGGCTGGGCTGTCGTTGAACCGGTCTGGGTCGCTGAGGAATGTGGCTGCAGAGCCTCTCCCCCCGCCGGGTGCAGGGAGCTGTGCACACACACAGGTGTGCTCCTGGCAGTGGGCTCCGCAGCAGCCAGTCCTGCTACAGCAGGGCAAAAAGCAAAGGCTGCAGCTGGGCTCACCTCTGTGCCATCACCCCGCTGGGTGAAGCCATCCCTGCAGGGCAGCCTGGCTGGGACAATGGCACTGACCCTCCTTGGCTGGGCCCAGGCTCATGGGAAGGGCAGGGGAAGGCGTGGGACATTGCCAGGGCCACCGTGGGGCTCATCCTTGGCGTGCTGGACCTGCCTGGCCCAGCCACTCTGCGCCCCTTGGAGAGGAGCTGTGTGCTGAAATAGCTGTGGGAAAGCCTCCGCCACCCTTCCCTGAGCTAAAAATATGCCAAGGCTGTGTGTGCAGGGAGATATTTATAAACCAGGAGCCCTGGCAGGCTGGCTTGGCTAGGGAGAAATCCCATGTCCCCTGGGCTTGGGGACATCCCTAGCAGCCCCGCAGCTGGAGCAGGGTCCAGATGCTGGTGGGGGACACTGTGCGGAATGTGCTGACCATGGAGCATCCAGATCTGGGCTCCCCCACGGAAAGAGATGGGGAGAAACCAGAGAGGAACCAGGGGCTACTCCCCAGCACCTGGTGGGTGAGGCCAAGAGTGATGGGTTGGAGCTGGGCCCCACAGAGCAGCCCCAGGCCACGGTCCAGAAGGATGGAGTCAAACCCTGTATGAAGGTGCCTGATGGTGGAATAAGAGACATGGGCACAAATTACAGTCTGGGATATTCAGGGGCCCTGAGGATGCTGCAGCCCCGGGATGAATTTCCAGGAGGTGTGGAGTCTCTGTCCTTGGGAATGGCAGAGTTCTGCAGGACACAGTGGTGGCTATCACCAACCCATGCCAGTGATAGCCCTGCTCTGGTGGGGCAGAGGACTCTGGTGCTGTCTCTTGGGGTTGGACTCGCCCTAAGGGAGTTGGTTGCCACCACAGCACACTTGTGTGGGGGGTCCTCTCTCCCCAAACCCAAACTGGGGCATGGCTGCAGCTCCCAGGCCATCAGGGCTGGCAGCTCTAGTGTTAAACTGCAGAGTTTGGCTTAAAGTGTGATTAAGGCTGAATCACTGCCTCGATCCCACTAATCCTGGCCTGTGTGCCTGTGTACGCTGGGTAATCCCAGGAGATGGGCCCCAGCGGAGACAGGCTGCAGAGAAAGCCAGGCTGATGATCTGGGGAGGAAAAGCCATTGAGACCTGTGAGCAGGGCCCTTCTGCTGAGCACCTGGGGCCAAGGGCACGCGCTCACGTCCCCGGCAGCTGCAGTGCCTGACCCGTGTCCTCCCTCGCTCCCTGCAGCAGAGTCTGATGCCAGCGTCTTCGCCTCCAACTCCTTGCAGCGGAAGAAGAAAGGGCTGCTGCGCCCAGCACACTACCGGGCCAAGCCTCACCTCCTCATCGGGATGCCCCAGGACTTCCGCCAGATCTCCTCCATCATCGACGTGGACATCCTGCCCGAGACGCACCGGCGCGTGCGGCTGCACAAGCACGGCTCTGACAAACCACTGGGCTTCTACATCCGCGACGGCGTCAGCGTGCGCGTGGCCCCGCAGGGCGTCGAGAAGGTGCCCGGCATCTTCATCTCCCGCCTGGTGAAGGGCGGCTTGGCTGAGAGCACGGGGCTGCTGGCGGTCAGCGACGAGATCCTGGAGGTGAACGGCATCGATGTGGCTGGCAAGTCCCTGGACCAAGTGACGGACATGATGGTGGCCAACAGCCACAACCTCATCATCACCGTCAAGCCGGCCAACCAGCGCAACAACGTCATCCGCAGCAGCAAGGCCTCGGGCAGCTCCGGCATGTCCACGGACAGCACCCCCAGCCAGCAGACCCCCAGCCCGGCCTCGCAGTACCTGAGCAACTACAGCACGGCCGAGAGCGACGAGGAGGGCGACCTGGTCATCGAGAGCGACAGCGCGTCCCACTACATCCCCGGGGGCTGCCCCAACGGGGGCCCCGCGGACGGACCCCTGCAGCGGAGCCTGTCCCCGCACAGCTCGCGGGGCTCCCTGCAGTCCCTCGGCAGCCACGACGGCAGCCCTGGCAGGGGCAGCGGACGGGAGGATGGCACCCTCCTCACCCTATAGCCGCAGGGGCCCGTGCCACTTGGTGGCTGGCTGGGTTCCCGCTGATCTGGGCTGGATGTGGACACCAGGGTGATGATGTGGCCATCGGGCAGGGGTGGAGAGGGGCTGCCCGTGACCCCCAGAGCCCCACTGTGGGACCCATTCAAGCCAGGCACTGCCCCTCTGAGCGCCCTTACCTCCTCTTCCAAGCAAGCGGGGGTTTTTAATTGTTTTATTGAAATATGCATCATTAATATATTGCAATGGACAGTAAAACTTTTTCTAGAAAGCGCCATGCTTGTCCCTGGTTCATGTCACTGCAGGGAGGAGGGGGACAGCGGGTGGGTACCCCAGCCCTGTGCACAGAAGGCAGTGCCTGGGGGCGATGGCCTTGACCTTTGCTGCTGTGCTGGGTGACCCCACTGAGACTCATTGTGCCTTTTCCAGGACCCATGTCCAGGCTGTTTTGGGCAGCTGCCTGGCCTGATGGCCTGATGCAGTCAGCCTTGCTTGGTCCCCCCTTTCCCACCTTGTCCCTGCTGCAGGGACACTCACTAATGCAAGGGACACCTGGTCTGGCAGCAGCACCTTGGCTGTCACTCAGCCTTGCAAATGCTGCTAGGGATAGTGCAGCCCCATCCTCCTTCTTCAGCCCCAAGCTCAGGGCAGGGGTGTCCACACCTGCCCCTGCTCCTCTCCTGGGGCTCCCAGCACCCTCAGTCCCTCTCACAAAAGTGCCAAGCCAATGTGGCACTCACTGCTGCCAAGGGCTTGTGGTGGGACCTGCAGCTCTCAGGGTCTGAAAAGCCAGCACCAACTCTCCATTCAGAGCCTCAGGCCAGGGCAGGCTGGGAGTGCAGCAAGGGCTGAGGACACTCATGGCACACAGCCAGGGCCCAGACAGACCAGAGAGCAGATCTGGCAGCAGGGCTGGTTAGCCCAGGCTGGTTTTGGGCAGGGAGGTGCCCAGGGGCTGTGCCCATGGCCCCCAGTCACTCTCATCCAGCCGGCTCAGCCTGGCTGTGGGGTTTGCCCTGAGGTGGCCCCAGGGGCACATGGGGTGATTTTCCAGTTGGCATCTCACCTCCTCCAGCCCTCGAGTGCCAAAATACTCCCCACGCCTTGGCAGCAGCGTCAGCCCTGACATCCCAGGGCACTGCAGTGTGCCAGGTGGCACAGGCAGGGCTAGGATACTCCACAATATCCCCACCCCACAAAATCCTGCCCTGCAGAAAGGCAGCTGCTTGGGGTATCCACACACAGCATCCCCACCCTGTGCAGCAAATGGGGATGGAGCAACAGCACAAGCTGCAAGAAGGGAAAACCAGATGGGATTTCAGGGGAAAAAGTGTTCCCCATGAGGCCAGCATTGTCTGGAGACAGAGCCCCAGCAAGGTGATGGGGAAAAGCCCCTCCCTGGAGATTCTCCTAATTCAGTTGGATGTGGCTCCAAGCTGTGGCACCGTGCCCCTGCTGAGCAAAAGATGCACCAAGCCCTCCAGCCATCCCTTACAGCTTCTTCATGCAGCAAGATCCCTGCAAAGGTCTGCACAGGTTCCTGCATGGCATCTGAAGGTAAGGCAGCAGTGAGCTCACCTATGTGATGGCACCTTCCAGCCCTGTCCTGCCAGCCTGTGGATGGAGATCCAGCAGGATTTTGTACATTCTCCAGTCCATGTCCCACCGCCATGTCCCAGCACCCTGTGAAACGCACGGTTCATCCCCTGCCTGCACTGTGCCAATGCTGATGCTTTCTGCTGCCCACACCATTCCTCAGGCCCTGCTGGGCCCACTGGGAGCTGCACACACACTGCTAGATGGACATGATGATTTATTGGAGTATCTCCTGCCCCACAGACAACAAAGACTTCTCCAGACATCTGACCAGACCCTCCTGACAGCTCAGCCCTTCCCTGGGCAGAAAACACTGAAGCTCTGTGCTTCTTTCTTGTCCCCAAGCTGTTCCCTGAGCTCTCAGGTGCTCAGGATGAGCCATGACCACAGTCCAGCTCAGCAGAATGACAAGGAATACCACAGGCAGCAGCACAAGAGACCTCCTACCAGTTTCTAGAAGTAGGAAAAAAAGGGAAAGTAAGAGGTGATGCCAGAGTTCCAGAGCAGAGAGCTGATCTGTGAGAGTCAAGCAGCAGAGACAACTGTTCTCCAGACCACTGAGCAGGGCCTTTCTTAGGGCATCTCCCTCCCTTTTCTGTGGACAAGACACAGCACTGAAAGGTGAGCAAGAGATGCCAGCTGTGTACTGGACACTGTAATTGGCACCTGCATGGGCCCAGGGTCTGGAACTTGGCTTCCTCTCTTTCCCTCCCAAAAAGTGATGTCCATTCCTGCCCAGCAACAAAGGATGTTCAGGCAGAGCAGCACAGCACACCTGGCCCCACCAGCTCAGGAGTCCAACTTGATGAAGACTTTCGGCCTTGAGAAAATTTTGATTGCCTCGTCTATCTGGGAGAGCTTCCTCTCAAGCTCTACCCGCCTCTTCTGCATCCTGAGGCTGTCTCCACGCATTGGCAGCAGAACCAGCTCCTTTATCAGCTGTTCCTGGCCTGTAAAAAGAGGAAAAAAAAGTTGTGTAAGTTGAAAAGCAAAGAAATCCACCCTTTTTCTAGTGCTATGACCAAGAAGACAATGGCAGCACTGGAACAAGGAACTAGAATCCTTCTATTTAAAGCTCAGCTGGATATAAGACCTGAGGGACATGCTCCAGCTTTGAGAACCAAGGATTGGACTAGAGATCTCTGAAGGTCCCTTTCAGCCAAAATCTTTCTAAGATTTTAGGAGCAATAGCAACCCTAACATCAAGTCCCCTGGACAAGTGTGCTCCAGAGAGCCAGTCCTGTAACCTGCAGGACACTGATTCCTCTTTCCATGCACACAGCTCACATCCTGCCTATATATGCCTTAATCCAGGCAACTCTCCAAGTGCCAGGAATGTGTCCCTGTGTCTCTTCTCCCTTATCCTGCCTAGGACTGTTTGTTCTTCTGAGCTGGATCCGCTGGTTTTTTTGCTCTTACTCTGTTTCAGGTTGCTGAGGGTCTCCAGGCGCTGGCCCTCGGGCATCATGGTGTGCCCGGGTGGTGTGTCGGGGTCCGGCAGGTTTCGCAGCCGCTCCTCCGTCTGCTTGCGCCACAGCTCCTTCCTCTCCAGCAGGCTGGAGGAAAAGGAGAGCAGGTGTCAGCACATCTGGCACAGGCAGAGGCCAGGAATGTGCCCTTCAAGCCCCGCAGGGTTCCATGTCACTGGATGAGGACCCCAGGGAGCTGCGTGCTGGCACACATGCTCATGGTGGGGGATACACCGTGTTTAAACCACATATGTGGACCAGCAAATGTGCTCCACATGCACAAAGAGCTGCTGGGGCAGATGCACTCAGGCCAGCACGTGCTCCTTGGAGACAAGGGCTGCTGCTCCTCGTTTCTGGCTCACTGAGTCCTTGCCAAACCATCTGCGGGTCAATGGCAGAGTGAAGTCAGACAGCAGCTCACGGCCAGGGATGCTGGCAGAGGACAGCACAGGCAAAGGACTGGCACCACAGTCAGTCCTAGGACAGGGTCTGTTTCCCATGCAGAACCTCAAAATGCACAGCACTAGCTGGATGCTCCCCAGAACCCAGGACCAAGGCAGGATGAACACCTGTGAGGCAGAGCGAGCTCTGTGCCTCTCCAAAACCAGACCTTTTCATGCCAAAGCTACATCACAAGGAACAAAGCCTACAAAAGGCAGGAGCACATTTCTCAAGGCACACAGAGCTTCCCCATATCAGCACCATTGTACAACAGCAAGCAAGGGAGGAGGAGACAAAACTCCCTCTGAGCCCTGTCACACTTGGTTAAGCCAAGAAAGCAGGAGGGACAGCGTTGACTCCCCAATCAGAGAAACCGACACTGCTGCACATCGCAAGAGCACCTCTGTGCCCAGCCCATCCCTCCAGGCACAAGCCAGGGTGTGCATTAAGGCAGTTACGGTCTCGTGGAGCAGAGAGGGGCACACATACTACTGGGGGACGTGGCCCTTCTGCTTGGCGTTGTATTCCTCCTGCTGGCGGTGCCGCTGCTGCAGCAGCTCGGCCAGCGCCTGCAGGGACTGCGAGCGGCGCAGCGGGGCCCGCCGGGCAGCGCACGCGTTGTGCCTGATGAAGTCAACGCTCCTGCCCTCCACCTGCACCTGCAAAAAGAGACAGAGAGGCGTCAGGGGCAGGCTGGGCACGTGCACACAGCCAGCAAAAATGCACCACACAAGATATTAATTGTATGACAGCAGGACAGGCAGATCCTCGGCACAGCGTGTCTCAGTGGGCAGACACAGACAGGCAGGAGCTGTGGCCACGGTTTGGGAAGGCAGGCACTTAAAGCCAAGTCTAATCCTGGCCTCTTTAAGGTCCCCAAGACGACCACATGCCTTAAAAGTCAAAAGGACAGAAAAACCCAGGCTTGACGTAGTCCCCATGGCTCCTACTGGAGCATTTTGAGGGCAGAGGAAAAACAGGTTGGGTGCTCACCAGGCCAAGAAACTCAACAGAGCCCCTGGCAGAGCAGGAACTTTGCTGATCCTTGGGATACTTGCCCAGACATAGCACCTCCACCACAGCTACTCTGCTGGACAAAGCAGTGGAGAAGGTGGCTGTGTTTGCATTTAAGATTTCCCTGGTCTTCCTCCTTTGTAGATCATGTCCTGTTTAATTAAGTCATTCATGGCATTTAGGAACCAACAAACTGACAATCTCACAATTGCCAAGGGAAAAGGACATGAGTCATGGAGCTGTTTAGGACCTCCCAAACAGACTACTTGAAAGGTTTAAATATTAATGCTGATTTAACTCTCCTCACTAAAACACACACTCATTTCCAAATTTTTATCTAACATCCAGAAGCCACAGTTCCTTTGATTACAGTGGGAACAGCCTCCAAAAACCCAAGACCTCCTGCAAAGCCATTGGCAGAGCAGATTTGAGATTGCTGGCGTGAGGAGGTGGAATTTTCACAGTGAACTTCATGATCTCCTTAACTATGAGTGAGGATGAAGCTAGAATTAACAGCCCCTGAATACCTATCTCACCTCCCCAGTGACCAGGACCCTGCTCCTTCCCTTCAGCCAGGAACAGTATTTACAGATCTCCCTACTCAAGCAGCACATCTGACCCAACACTTCAGAAGAATGGATTTTCCATGCCAGAAATCCCTGGGATGGATGCAGGTAGTGTGTAACTCACCTTGGTTTCAGCCCCCTGTGCCTCTGGAGCCTCTGTGTCTGCTCCTGCTTTTGCTCTGACTGGCCTTGGGGACAGTGGTCTGCATGGCTTGATCCCAGAGCCACAGCGGGAATACGCCCGCAGGAAATTCACAGCCTCGGGATTGGGAGGTGGAGAGGTCTCCTGGGAAAGACAAGAAAAGATCCACCAGTGGAGGGAGGCTGGGGCAAAGAAAAACCCTCTCAACCAAGTTTGGGTGGTCAAGCACGGGCTCAGCCACAGGTTTCCAGACAGCACAAGCTTTCTGCCACGGCCTGGCAGAAGTTCTTGGGGGAAGATAATCTGTAATCAGCCAGCAAAGACCAACAAACACAACAGATCCAGACCTGGCCATAGAATGAAGGCTGAGAAACAGGGGGGGAGCTCTGCAGAAGCAAATTTGGATCAAGCAGGTAGGCAGGAGGCTGCCTGCTGAGGTGCTGTTCTCCAGGGCTGCTCTGCTCAGCACCTCAAATCTAGGTTATATCACTCTAGAAAGAAAAAGGAGCAGAGAGTGAAGGAGTCTGGTGGGATTGCATCTGAGGGGCATCTTCAAAGGCTGTGGCACAGGGTGACAGTACTTGATGTCTAGCAGGTGGTCTGGGACTATCTCAGACAGTCTTGTTGCAAACAAACCCTGAAAACTGAAAGTTGACACTGTGGCAAGTGGGTGACCTTACGAAAAACACAGCTGGGGCTCTGCTCTGCCCTTGGGAGTGATGGGAACTGCACAGGGCCACCCCCAGATCTTTAGAAATACCCAAGGTCTGAGCTGAGCTGCAGCTCCCTGGGGAAGATTTCCTCTTGCCTGGCCCATTCAGCTGGGCAGAGCTGCAGACAGATGGTGGGACTGGGCAGCCACACTGGTGGGTTTGGTGTGAGGAGCAGGGTATGGGATGCCCTCAGCACTGCCCAGACTGTTCATGCTCCAATGATGACCAGTCTTGTTTCAACAAGAGATCTGGATCTCTCTGGTAAGTTAATGAGAATTGCCTTCACCTAGCACAGCTGGTAAGGCTGATTGAGTCTGACCTCAGGAGCACAGAGCACAGCTTGCCCCATCTCCCTCCACAGGAGCACTGGGACTGCCAGAACCCTTTGCAAGACAACTGCTACAGCTAACAGCCTCAGGGACAGGTGATAGAGAAAAAACTCTGCATTAGTCATCAAGATCCAGCAGAATCAACTGAAACTCTGAGCAGCAGCAGCAGCAGCTCCACAGAAGATGGAGATCCTTCACAGGGAACACCTCAGCTCCAGGAGAGCCACAGCAACAGTTAAAGCATCATGAGTCAGTGCCAGGGCCTCTCTGGAGGAACACACAGAGCACAAGTAACGCACCACGCAGAACCTGCCTGCGCAGAGACCACCCCCTTTCCCCAAAACAAAGGAAGAAATGAGCTCAATCTTCTTCTCACCCAGAGGAT